TTTTGGAAGTGATAGCGATGATTCTAGTCGATCGCATTCGTCGAGTGAGCATGTGGTGTCGAGTAGTGAAGTTGATCCGGTGGTCGAAGAGGAGGAGGAAGATGATATTCCACCGTGTGATGTTGAGATTGATACGAGGAGGCAAAAGAAAATTAAGCCAATTAATTTGGACTTAATTGATTTTGATAGTGTATTGACGGAAGAGCATTTGCATTCTATTCGTCGTTTATCTGGAGCGCCAAGTAATGTCGAGTTGTTGTTGCCTCAGAAGGGTGACCGTTTGTACGCGCCACCCGATGGGTTTCATACAGTATTTTTGGGGTACTTGACGTGTACATCTCAGATTACTCCGCATCCGACTTTGTTGAAGGTTTGCGAGGAATTCAAGATAGGGTATAGTCAGCTCACTCCCACTGTTGTTCTGATGTTCGAGGCGTTTCACTATAGGGTGGTTCGAGTAGGTCTTCCAGTTACTGTGAGTTTGTTTAAGGCGTTATTTACGTTACATCGGCCCACTAAGATGCCTTTCTTTTGTTTTCATCCTCGCGTTCCCTACCAATTTGTGAAGAGTGTGAAGTTATCCTAGGGGAAATGGAAGACCCATTTTTTTTATGTGAGGGCTCCCACTTTTGACGTCCCTGTAGTTTGGAACCCTACGTGTGAGAGTTTCAAGATTACCGCCAATATGGCGAAGAGGATTGAAGAATCTGGGTTGTGTGATATGGACTTTGATCCGAGGTGTTTGATACCGAAGGCGAAGGGTCAGCACTGTATATCCTTTTGATGCATTGTTGGGTTTTTTTTTTTTTGGTTTTTTTTTTTTTTTTTTTTTTTTTTAATATGTAGTTCTTTGGTTGTATATATCTCATGTCTCTTATGTGGTTGTTTTCTTATGTAGATGGAGGTATTACCTTTGCGGCACTTCGAGCTAAGGCGAATGGGACGTCGAAGAAGGCATCGAAGAAGGTTTCCTCTACGTTGGGAGGTTATTCGGGTGGTTTGCCTCGTGAGACGGTCCATGTAGAAATTCCTCGAGTGATCGAAGATGATCGTAGCAGTGCTGGTGAAGTGGAGGGGCGTCCCCCAACGAGGGATCGTGGCAAGGGAAAGAGGGTGGATACCGAGTATGTGGTTGTGCCTAAGCGTCCACGGGTAGACCCAGAGGAGACCTATGCTTTCCATGGTGGGGGAGGGAAACAGTTGTTTACCTATGGCGTGAATCGCGACGGTAATGAGTCGTATTGGGATGTGTCGGATCATGATTTGCCGATGTTGAGTACCGAGGGGTTCGTTCGGGAGTATGACCGTGCTCGGATGTCTGGTAAGGGCCCTTCTCACATGTTGGAGTTAGCCGGTGGGGACATATGTCGGGTGAGTATTTGTTTATTTAAAACAAGATTAAATGTTAATTCCTTTTTTCCTTGTGTAAATTTTTTTATTTATTTATTTTTTTATTTTTATTTAGTTGGTAGCGACTTGGAGATATCTCATGGAGCATGGTAGGAATGTTGAAGCTATGAAGGAAGAGGAGCGAGTTCAAAGTCAGACGCGTGAGGACGAACTTCTAAGCCAGTTGGAGATAGCGCGGTCCGATCTTGCTCAACGGACGGAAGAGCTTTCTCAAAGGACAGAGGAGCTTGCTCAAAGGACATAAGAGCTCAAGGTTATCCGAGGTGACGCGAAGGCGTATAAGGATGATGTTCATAAGTTGAACGAGTGCTATGACCAGCTTAAGGAGAAATACGAAGTTGAGAAGGCGACGGGGAAGAGGTTCCTCGCGACGTCTGGTGGTGCTGCTTATAAGGAATCCGTCGTGGAGGAGACCAAGCTTAGCTTCCGAGGTAGTGATGAGTGTGCTGCTAAGATTGAGGAGCATGCTTTGGCTGTGGTCTATAAGCCGTTGGTTCGTGCTTGTCGCAAATATCTTCGCGAGGTGGGTGGTATTAGTGAGAAGGTTATTCGCGCGATGGAAGCTGGTATATCCGATGAAGAGGAGGATGAGGTCGATGGCAACGAGACGGGCACAGAGCTCGTGGATGACATGGTTGCTGATGATCCCACTGTGAGGGCGTCTTCCGCTCGTGGTGGTGGAGTTTAGATATTTTTGCTAGGATAGTTAAACTCTTTTTTACTTATTATTGCTATGGATTTCTTAATTTATTTTTATCGCTGATGTAGACAGGTATGTCCTCTACTATTTCGTTTGAATTTCTTTCTTTTTTGACATTTGAAGTTTGATATCTTGAATTATTTATTTTGACATTGTCAAAAGTTAATGCCCTGCTTATATGCATTTACATTTAGCGTTGTACGCGATGTACTTGAGGAGGGGATCAGTCTCCCAAGGTTTTTGGTAAGAGTCGTGCCCTTTGTCCGGACCGCTTGGGTCTTAGATATATTTGTCCGTGGCCACGTTTTAAAATTAACACCTCGTGAAACAAATAAAGGGACTTAGATAATCCAGCTGGCCAGGCTATACGGATTATCTAAATCTCTCTAAGTGTTTGTAGGAAGGTATTGAATTGAACTCATGGTAAGAGGTAATTTGTATAGACGTAAATGCGCAGAATAGTAAAGCGAAAAGTATGATTTATTCAACAATAGCAAAGGAGAATTGTTACATGCATATGTGAGGCGAATGTAAGTAAATGGCTAATGCGATAGGCCTACGTGAGGCGAAGGTAAATAACTACTGGTAAAGCAAAAAAAAAAAAAAAAAAGGAAATTGACTTGATAAAAAAATTTCTAAGTGATTGTTCTACACTTGTTCTTCTTCCACGTCTTCCTTGTACTCGTTCGTTTTGCCGTGCTGATGGTAAAATGAATTCCTTTGGCGTCTCTATGCCTGCCAAATATAATTGAGAAAAAGGAATTTTGTCTAAGCATTTGTATTGAAGACTTAGTAATTGAAGCTGAGGGGATGTGCATTGCCGATCTACGTACCCTACTACGGGGATGTTTTTTCTTGCTCGCACTTCGAGATATGAAATCAACTCGTGAGTTGTTGTGCTTTGCTGTGTGATCATGTCTATTAGATGGGATGATTTTTTCACGTTAGTAAGAGTAAACAAGAGCATGCGTGTGTTGTAGTCTAGTGGAAGTATTGTTACCCTTGGCGATGTGGTATGGAGGGTGCTCGCTCTTTGGGCCATTGATTGAGTAATATGCATCCTCTCGTAATTGGTTCTCAATCTGTAATAAGATGGTGAGGTGTGATTATGAATTGCTGATGTAAATAAACTCACTAGCCCCCCAGTCTAGGTAAGATGTTAACGCACCTAGTTATATAGTAGAAAATTTCCAAGCATGTTGATACAGTTTTGCGAGACGAGTGACGTGGAAGACCGCGGAGCCTGCGAGGGTAATGATGTGCAAGTAATTTTCATATATGAGGGGTATAGGTGGCGACTTCAACGGATCTTAATTTAGGTAGATGTATACCTTAAGCGTAGAACCGTTTGAGGTTCCCTATATTCCACGTTCTGGGTATAGGGCGTCCGTCATTGGTCTCGAGGCGATATGCTCCAGTGTTGACCACTTTGGTGATTTTATATGGTCCTTCCCACTTTGGATCGAGTTTTCCGATGGGGTGAGAAGCTTCGACTTTTCGGAGGACCAAATCTCCAACTTGAAAGGATCGAGGGCGGACCTTTGAATTATAGGCCTTGGCCATGCGTGATTTATACATCTGTTGTCGGATGTATGCAATCTCACGTAATTCATCTACGAGGTCTAGGCTTCCCCGCATAGCCTCTTCGTTAGCCGCTGGGTCATAATTGGTGATTCGCCAAGATGGTTCTCCGATTTCGACGGGTGCGATAGCCTCTGTTCCGAAAGCTAGATTGAAAGGTGACTCTCCGGTTGCTGCTCGTGGGGTTGTGCGATAAGCCCATAGTGCGTTAGGCAATTCGTCCACCCACTTCCCTTTGGCACTTCCAAGCCTTGTCTTAAGGTAGGGGTGTGCACGGGTCGGTACGGCTCGGTTTTTCCAATAAACCAAACACGTACCGATAATACCGGTTTCTCATATTTTAAAAACCGAATATGTCGGTTTTTTTCGGTTCGGTGTGAATCGGTTTTTCGGTTTTCGGTAAACGGTTTCGGTATCAATTCGGTTTATTTTCGGTTTCGATTTCGCCTATTTGTTCGAACCGGTTCGGCATAAAACCCATATATTTGGACTTTCATTATATTTATTTGAGAAAATTAACAAATAACAACCGAAAATTAACTAATAAAAAACACGTCACAACCAAAATTAATTAATAGAAAAAGATGTCACATGGAGGCGCTCGAAAGATAGAGGCACGCTAGGATAAGTATTTATAATATATATCAAAAATACATCATTTTGTATAAATCGGTTCGGTTCGGGAAATCGGTTCGGTAATTTTTAAATTCTCCATACACAAACCGATATTTTCGGTTTTTCAAAAAGAAATTACCGTATATGCGGCTTTAAGTCAGGACGGTACATATCGGCTCGGTTTTTTCGGTTTTCGGTTCGGTTTTTCGGTTTTTTTGCTCACCCCTTTCTTAAGGTGTTGGAGTATGGTGCGATTCGTGACCTCCGTCTGGCCATTAGCCTGTGGATTGGCTACGAATGTGAAGAACTGTTTAATGTCCAAGCCGAGGCACCAATTCTTTACTTTGTCACCACAAAATTGGGTTCCGTTATCTGAGATAATGGAGCGTGGGATCCCAAAGCGACATACGATGTTCTTCCATAGGAATTGGATGACTTCTTCTTCTCGGATGCGTGCTAAGGGTTCAGCTTCCACCCATTTGGTGAAGTAGTCCACTACTACAATGAGGTATTTACGTCCTCCTATGGCGGGCGGGAATAGTCCAACTAAATCCATTCCCCATTGAGCGAAAGGGATGGGGCTGTCAATTGGTTGCATTAATGCCGCTGGCAGGTGAGGAATATTTGCATGCTCTTGGCAGGGCTTACACTTCCGGACTAACTTCTTCGCGTCTTCATGCATCGTTGGCCAATACTAGCCTTGCCTTAGTAGTTTGAGAGCTAAAGTTCTTCCGCTCAAGTGATTTCCGCAGATGCCTTCATGTACTTCTCTAAGTACGTAATCCGCTGTGGTCGGGTCGAGGCACTTGAGGTAGGGGGATGAGAACCCTCGTTTGTACAACTCTTCCCCCACTATGACGAAGCGAGCGGCTCTCGTTTTTAACTTTCGTGCTTCGGTGGGATCCGCTAGAAGTTCTCTCTTCTTGAGATACTTCAGGATTGGAGTGAACCAGCATGGTTCATCCTCCTCGGTGTACTGTACTTCAGTGGGTGAAGTTATCTCTGGCTGAGGTGAGGTGAGGAGCGTCACCTTCCGACTTCCGATGCTAGCCATGGAGCTCCCTAGTCTGGCTAATTTGTCAGCATGGATGTTATTTGATCGGGGTACTTGTCTTATCTCGTAGCTCTCGAACTTGGATAAGAGGGTGTGTGCAAGAGCTAAGTATTTGGCCATGGTGTCTTCTTTGGCCTCGTACACTCCGAGTACTTGGTTAACGACGAGCTGAGAGTCGCTTTGGATTAGGAGCTTGCGCGCTCCGGCTGCTAGGGCGAGGCGGATTCCCGCTATCAATGCTTCGTATTCAGCAACGTTGTTTGAGGCTGTGAATTCGAATCGTTGAGCGTATTCAAACTCATCTCCATCAGGATTCGTTAGTACGATACCCGCTCCCCCTCCTGTGGTAGTGGAAGATCCGTCGACGTTGACAGACCAAGTAGGTATAGAAGTGCTTTCTTGTATGGAAGTCATTTCGACTAGAAAATCTGCCAATACTTGCGCTTTGATAGCTGGCCGGGGTTTGAATTCCACTCCATATTCACTTAGCTCTATCGCCCATTTTGCTAATCGTCCGGATGTTTCGGGACTCCTTAGTATTTGTTTCAACGGATAATTGGTGAGAACCACCACTTGATGAGACTGGAAGTAAGGTCGAAGCTTCCGGGCTGCGTTGATGAGGGCGAGAGCGAGTTTCTCCATGTTGGTGTAGCGTTGCTCGGCTCCTTGGAGGGCGCGACTTATGTAGTATATGGGTTGGTGGCCTTTTCCTCCATCTCGGATGAGGACTGCGCTGACGGCATCAGCTGAGGTAGCTAAGTATAGTAGAAGGGTGTCTTCGGGTTGAGGTTTTGTGAGCAAGGGTGGTGATGCGAGATATGACTTTAGCTCAGTGAAGGCTTTTTGACATGCCTCATCCCACTCGAACTTTTTTCCTCCCCTTAAAATCTTGAAGAAGGGGAGAGCCTTGTCTGCTGACCTGGAAATGAACCTGTTCAGAGATGCCAAACAGCCATTAAGCTGTTGTACTTTCTTGATAGACGTTGATGGAGCCATTGAGGTGATCGCTTCGATTTTAGCAGGATTAGCTTCGATTCCCCGCTGTGAGATCATGTATCCCAAAAATTTACCTCCCCGAACTCCGAACGAACATTTGAGGGGGTTGAGTTTCATCTTATATCTTCGTAAGGTGGTGAAACACTGATCTAAGTCGGTTAAGTGGTCTGATGTCTTGACACTTTTGACGAGCATGTCGTCGATGTACACCTCCATATTTTTACCGATCTGATCTGCGAACATTGTGTTCACTAGACGTTGGTATGTGGCTCCTGTGTTCTTTAACCCGAAGGGCATGACTTGATAGCAGTAGATGCCTTGGTCAGTGATGAAACTAGCCCTCTCTTGATCCTCTGGCACAAGTAAGATCTGGTTATACCCTTGGTATGCATCGAGGAAGCTGAGGAGTTCGCACCCCGAGGTCGAATCGATGAGCTGATCGATTCTGGGTATAGGAAATGGGTCCTTAGGACAAGCTTTGTTGAGGTCGGTGAAGTCTACGCATAATCTCCACTTGCCACCCGGCTTGGGAACGAGTACTACGTTCGACAGCCATTCGGGATACTGGACTGGTCGTATGTGGCCCGCTTCAACCTCTTATCGACGTTGAGCCGATGTAGAGCTACCTGAGGAGGAATGCCCGACAAATCTTGGGCTTTCCATGCGAACACATCTCCATTGTGTCGCAGGAAGTTGATTAGCTGCTGCTCCGTGGTTGGATCTAAATCGGATCCTATTCGTATGATCTTGGAAGTATCTCCGGGAATGAGCTCTATGAGCTTAAGCTCTTCGACAGCTGCTAGCGTGATGCTGTCATCTGGTACACTGAGGAGGATTTCTTTATTATCCTCAATGATCGCGTTGACCCACTTCCGTTTGTCGGATTTTTGGGTGTCGTCTCCCCTTCCTGGTGGTTTAGGCTTCTTGGAAGGTTCTCGTAGGGCCCTTGCATAGCACTCTCGGGAGAGACGTCTATCTCCAAGTACTTCCCCAATTCCATAGGTAGTAGGGAACTTCCACTTCTGATGGTAGGAGGAAGGCACTGATTTGAAGGTAGGGATTGCTGGCCTCCCTCGAATGATGTTGTAGGGGGATGGTTTGTCGACGACGAGGAATTTGATTAGTTTTGTGATTCGACAAGGGTTTTCCCCTAGAGAAACGGGCAACTCCACTTCTCCCATGGACAAAATGCTTTCTCCTGTGAATCCTTTCAGGGGTGTGGAGATGGGACTAAACCGGGCATTATCTATGCCCAACTGCTTAAAAGCGTCGAGGTACATGATGTCAGCTGAGCTCCCACCGTCTACCAATATCTTCTTGACCAAGAAGTTGGCCACCGTTGTTGTTACTACCAATGCATCGACATGATCTTCATCTGGACCTTCAAGTTCGGAGGAGTTGAAGACTATGCTATGATCAGGTCTTCGTATTTGATAGATGCGTGCGGATGGAGAAGCACGTTCTTGATTCATGCGTACTGATCGAGCGAGGGTGCGTCTTGCATTTTGTGAATCGCCACCCGCCGGTCCTCCGGAGATAAAGGAGATGATTCCCCGAGTAGGTTGGTTATCGTTGTTATCTAGGTCACGTCGATGACCCCCATCCTCTCGCCTTTGCTGTTGATCTCGATTATTATCTCGGCGTGGAGGATCATCACGGCGTTATTTCGAGGCTTATCAATGTATTCGCCTAAATGGCCATGTTTGATCAGCCTCTCAATTGCCACTTTGAGTTGTGCACATCCCTCCGTAGTATGCCCTATGTCCTTATGGAATCGACAATAACGATCCGACTTTTCTCGCTTTGCATTTGGCTGCATAGGACGTGGAGGCTCTGCTAAACCTTTCTGTTCTATCACGTGAAGGATTTCAGTGAGGCGGGCGTTTAGCGGAGTGAACCTATTGTAGGAGGTAGAGGGTTGGCCTTGAGGTGGAAGTGGTGGACGTCGATCATCGCGCCTCCTGTTGTCCTGACGGTCATCTTCCCTTTTCCTTTTAGAAGGAGCATGGGTAGAGACTTCCTCTATCCGGATGTATTTTTCGGCTCGATTCAGCAACTCCTCTAGGTTGCCCGTGGGTCTTGCGGCGATAGATTCTTTGAATCTGCCCGGTTTCAAGTTCTGCTGCATAATCCCGGAGAGCATGTCTTGCCCTACACTGGGGACTTCATGGACGGCTTCTACAAAACGCTTAATGTAGTTACGGAGCGTTTCGTTATCTCTCTGTACTACAGAGAAAAGATGAGCTGGGGTCTTGGCATATTGTTTGTTGATGGCGAATTGGTTGGTGAAACGGGTTGATAACCTAGCGAAGGTGTCAATCGACCCTATGGGTAGAGAGTTGAACCAATTCATTGCCCTCTGGAGAGAGTGGTGCAGAACATTTTACACATCGCAGCATCCGTCGAGCCATATAAATCCGCCATGGCACTGAATTTCTCTATATGCTCCTGTGGGTCGATGGTCCCTTCAAATTGAGGTAACCCCGAGATCTTTACTCCTTGAGGTAATACCTCGTTGAGTATCTCAATGGTGAAGGGACTGCGTCTTGTTGGGACAGGCATTCTTCCACCCATTGGATTATTTGGTTGGGGGAAAATATTTTGGCGAGACATTCTGCTGTTTACCTCGCCTTCTCCCTCATTAAAGAGAGGGACTCTCTGTGGTGACACATTCCCCCGTGGGGGTGAGCGCTGACGCTGCTGTCTGGGCTGTGCTCCTCTGTGATTAGTAGATAGCTGCACTCGGGACCGTGGGTCCGAGGTAGAGGAGGAGACACTTATTTGATTCTGGATTGGCGGTGGTGCCACAGGTGGCGCTGGTATCGCATTGGGAGCGTTTGCTCCCATCGTGGCGATATATTGAGTTACGGCCTCCATGGCGGCGCGAGTTGAGGCTTCTGCTATCATGCGTTGGAGCGCGTCCTCGGTTATTTGAACCGTTCGAGGAGCAGAGAGTGGTGAATCGGCGAGTGGTGGGTCCCGAGGAGGGATCACCTGAACCTCGCGATGTGGATCTGCCACACGTGGAAGAGCTGGCTCCGTGGCACGTGGGGGAAGTGGTGGCTCCACGGCACGTGGGGGAAGTGGTGGCTCCGCGGCACGTGGGGGAAGTGGTGGCTCCGCGGCACGTGGAGGAGGTGGTATGCCAGATCCTCTACGGACTGGAAGGTTATTAGCTGTGTCATTTTCTCTCCGAGCTGACGCCTCAGGAGGATCTTGATGGCTACGTGATCTGGTTTGCATCGTTCCCACAGACGGCGCCAAAATGATGATGCTGAAATATAGCTCACCGGAGTAGTATAGAAAACGAACTGGGAGAGCAAAGCTGATCAGTAGCTAGTCAACTCGATGATCCTGAGGTCCCTACAAAATGAGCACACGTGAACTAAGCCGGGGATTGATCCGGCGGAAACCCCTCTGACGCTCAAGTCAGATGTATAGATCGTAGAGATAGTAGAGAGAATAAAACTCGAGATTGATTGTGAATAATTAGAACGTACCTTTGTGAATGAGTAAAACGTCTATTTATATATCGGTGATTGGGTTGGACTTACTTTGTTGGGCCCAAGCCTTACTTTGAAGGTGTTTGGGCTTTCGCGTAGTGGGTCTAGTTGGTAGATAAATTTGAGGGCCCGTTGGGCCGGCCCATTTAGAGATAAATTTGAGGGCCCGTTGGGCCGGCCCGTTGGTAGATAAATTTGAGGGCCCGAAACAGCGCAGTAAAGGGATTTTAATTGCACAAGGAAACTGCCTTCTTCCCCAAGTTCTTCACCCTATATAAGACCAAGCCAAGCACACAATTAAAAATCCATCTTTTTACGCAATTTGGAGAGCAACAAAGCAATAACGAAGACGAAGAATTCGAAGACTCTAAGCATAGATTTATCGTTTATGACTTATTTTATCTGTGTTTTTCCTTTAATCATGAGTAGCTAATTTTCTTAATTCTAGGATTTTATTTGGAACCCTATGTGGGATTTATGAACCCAATTCTATGATTTTATGCAAGTTTTAATTCCAGATTATTTCTTCTTCTTGTTTTATTAAGTTCATGAAACTGGCCACTTTATGCGCTTTTATGTTATTGTTAATCGCATGAATCGGAAGATCGGGTTAATAATTAGAACTGTGGTAGAAGAGTTTTTGTGGTATTAACATAGGAATATAGTTAATCTCTTAGGTAGCCATTATTGAGATTTGTGCTTAATGCTGTGTTCTAGAATTAATTGCATAGGAATATAGTAATTGAATCTAGAATATTAGAATTGTAATACACGCGGAAGCGGGTTATGATTATTTTAGCATCTCAGGTTAATAATCCGGGTTAATTGCTTGCATAATTAAAGGAATTGGGGGAATAATAATCACATATGGGGAAGAATAAAATCCTAGGCTCGTTTACTCTGATAAATCTTCGTGTTTAATTTGCTTTCTTGTTTAGTCGTTTTAATTTGCTTTTTAAATTATTTTAGTTAATTCTCTATAAAGTCGACTGTGTAGGGTGGGCTTGATAAGAATTGGTAGAATTTAGCGTCTAGGATTAGATAATTAAATATTCCCTGTGGGTTCGATATCCGGACTTAATTGTCCACTATATTACTTGTACGATACGTGCACTTGCGTGTAGGTTTTCGACCAACACTCACCACAATGTCGACCACACTCATGTGCATTAACAAATGCAATGTAACCATATTCACCACGTCTTCGTCAGAAGTCAGGGTGACAAACATTCTTTCACGAGGAGCCAAGTATTGGAGCACCAATTTGTCGGAATGTATATCGTTCCACTTCATTAAGATAGATTCATAGATCTCCTTTAAAGTCGAATTATTCTTAATGGAAATGATGTGCAGATAATCACTATACCGACAACTTCCACGAATACCAGCGGCGAGGGGGTTTGATTCACAATTTGCTGCCACTGTGGGAGATTTCAGTTTTTTTTCGCGGTCAGGGTACAAAAAGTAGTAACAGAGAATATGAGGAAAGAGAGAGGAGATATAAACATAAGAGAAAAAATGGAAGAAAAAGGAGAAAGGAGAGAGGAGAGAGAAAGAGAAGAGAAGAAAGGGAAGAAAGAAGAGAGAAGAGAGGAGAGAAAATGTATAAAGTGAAAAAAAGTGGGGTCGATGACTGAACTGTATGTTTACGTTTGCTTTAGGGACTGACCCGCTTATAAAATATTGCTGGGGACTGACCCGTATGTTTCGTTTTGAGTTGGGGATTTATCTGTACATGTCCCTTACTATTTAGTTGCCAATGGCATCCGGAGTCTTATATTTAATTCAGTGCCCCCTGTTTAATTTTTTATTATAATCATTTTACTTTCTAAAATCGTAATAAAATTCATCTTATGTCAATTAATCAATCAGGTGTTATAAAATATAAAATATAATACAATAGTAAATATGTATTATATAATCTGGAAGTGTTCAAAATACAAAATAGTAGAAGATGTATTCGAGAGAAAGAGTGTGTAGAATTGCTAGTGAAAGCTACCACGTTTTTATTGCCAACGATGGGTATTTATCAAGGTTGTAAAAAGCGGTAATCGGATCGGAGGTTGTCAGGGACCGACTCACGATTAATCGGTGCGGCGGCGATTAATCGATGATAAATCAGAAATAAATTGGTTTCTAAAATTTAATATAATATATTTGTAGGTATTATTTATAAATACTCTCACATATATCTCTTTTTTTTTTTTATATATATATATATATATATATATATATATATATATATATATATATATATATATATATATATATATATATATATATATATATCCTAATAACATAATAAAAGTTTAATAATAATAAGATCATAATTCATAAATATCCTTATAAAATATAAATAAAAAGACATTTTTTTTTAAATGACATACATCATTAGTTCTTATAACAATAATAGTTAACATAAACAAAATAAAACTTAAAATCATATTTTTTTTTATTAAAATCGCAACTTTTATTTTGAATTATAAAAAAAAAATAACTGATTTATGACCGATTTTTGCCACCGAAGTTTGACCCGCCTTAAAGGTTTGACCGCCTCGGACTGCCTAAAACCGCCTCATTGGCAAAAAGTCGATTTTTCAAACCTTTACACTAAAATTCTAAAGGTTTTGGACCGCCTCCGCCTCGGAGACCGATTAATCGGCCGCCTTGGCCGAGTTTTTGAACACTGGTATGTATACACAAATCTGTTACAAACATTGTCATGCTTTATTTAACTAAGCAATTGCTAAAAACATGATATGTATATCATCGGGGATAATATTGGCTTTGATATATATCTTGCTTTATAGTACCTTAGTCCATAGGTAATTAAATATTATAATACACGTTTTTTACAATAACTACCCATGTGTAATCTTTAATTGTCAAAAAACCCCGTTCAAAAAAAATAGCAAGTACCCCACTATGAAAGTCAGTCAAAGGCCCCTGACGGCTTATCGTGTTCTGCACAAGCGAATTGTGTGGCTGGGGTGCGTGTTCTGACCTGAAAAGACCTAAATACCCTGTAAATATAAAAAATGAAAAATTAAACATTAGCCCCAAATTTTAATAACCCGAAAATGAAATTTTCAAAATTTTCAATTCAGTCCTTGCCAATTTAAACAACGCCCTCCAAATCATCCCATCCCGATCAAACTCTCTACCATTTTCATGCCCAACACACACAAAATGCTTCCTGACGGCGCCCCTTTGCCAGACATAGACCAGCAAATATTTTTTTCCGAACGCATTTTTAACATAATTGTTTTCCAACGGACCACTCCCTTCAGGTTTCTCCAGCAAAAGAACTAAAAAAACAAAACCAACTGACATTGTGAGCTTCAGGCTCTTTCTTGTATCAAACAGCAAAAAAGTCGAATATTTTGCAAGATCAGAGCTTTAAGCTTTTCTTTGGAACACAAAAAAAATCCAAAAATTCCAGAAAAATGCTCAGAATATATGTACATATAATTTAAGAAAACTCTAATTTTTTTGCAACCAAAAAATCCCGAAGGTTGGTTCACTCCTCTCTTCTCATGATATTCTGCTCCAAATGTGTTGACCTCGATGAAGATGGTGCATAAGATGATTGATATGGAAGAGAAAGTTGGGGTGGGGTGGGGTACGCTACTGAAAGGAGAAGATTTCAAACGGTAACTCTGGAATTTGATTGCTCCGACGAGGGCACTGTTTTGTTTTTCGGCGATTGAGTCAGCGTTCTCTCGATCATGAAACTGCGGGATACATTTAGGGC